GTATCACGACCGAATGCAAGTTGATCTGCATGGAATGATGTTGTAACAGTTGTCTCTTCGCGATTCAGTCGCGACGATCAAATCGCGTGAAGTCTGCCCGGGGCCTTAAAGGCACTGTCCACCCAGATTTTCGACTTCCACGTTTTTGTCGTTTCAGGGCCTTCTCATGTCCCTGTTTCCGAATATGAAGTCGAGAATGCGCGAAAACCCCGACATCCCCGTTCCGGAGAACCCAGAGACCGGCTTTCCGGAACGGTGATTGGATGGGCGCGCACAAATGGGCGGGCATGGTTGGGGGAGTGCGGGCATGGATGGGGGTCCTCGTGCATCTTTGCTATTCCGAAGCGATTTTCTCGCTTTCGAAGCGACATCTCGCGCCGCGACTTGGGCATTGGATTGATAGGGGGCCCTACTATTATATGCTGTCGAAAGCTCAACACCCTCAACTTAGGGTGGACGGTGCCTTTGAGCGGAAAATCTACTCGACTGTACATCTTCTATATAAAGCTGAATGTCTGTTTGTATGTATGTATGCCTGTACGTTCCGAATAGAAAATTCCATTTCTGAACCGATCCGGACCAAACTTGGCAGACATACACTTCCGGCCCCGGCGGGTATCATGGCTACTTTTCGTCATCGATCGATATCGATTTTATCGATTTTTTGCAGAGTTCACCTACGGGCTGGGAGATGCACAGAGGGGTAATCGAGCATGACGATTCCGAATACAATATTACTTTTCAGGATTATCGATTACTTTTATCGATTTTATCGATTTTTTTGCGTTTGAGCTACGGGGCTGGGAGTTTGCACAGGGGGGAGGGGGGTAATCGAGCATGCTGATCACGATTACAACATTAGTTTGGCGCTATTCGGCTATCCGAGCCCCTTTATTTTTTGTCGTAGAGCTTGCTCAAACTTCGTGTATAAGGGTTATCTACATGCTGATTACAGATATCACACTTTCTCCGCAGAACGTTTCCCCGTGTGGTTACGGTAGGTGTACGGTAGGAATTCAGTACCATGAATTCGGCTGGAGTTCGGTCCATATGGCTTATTCGACATGCTAATTACGAATATCATCTCTCTCTCTCTCTGCATGTTGGGACCTTTTCACAGAGTTATGGTGGTTATACGGTACGGGATCGAAAACATAGATTTGCTTTAAACTTCGTTTAGGGTGGTCATTTAGCGCGCTGAACATGAATATCATGCTGATTTCGCAGGATAGTGCATTTTCTTGGGTTACGGTGGGTGTAGATGGGTCGAAGTTCCAGATTTGCTTCTTACCTTAACGGTTCACAAGCACACTGCTTATGCATATGATGCTTTCGCTGTTACAACGCATTATTGTGAAGTTATGGTGTTTCAGAGTTTGAATAGACATTTATTCGCTTTCGGGCCAATTTAGATTCCAGATATTCACGAAGTGGGGAAACGGTCGTTCTGCATGGCGGTCTCCAGCGCCACTCTGATAACCTGTCCTAACGCGTAACGCACGCGGCAAATCTCCCTCCCTCTGTTTTGCTTAGGCAAAAGCCGCCGAAGGGTGATCGCGCGCGGCAGTGGTCCTATATGGAAAGCTTTACGGTCGTGGGAAACTTTTGTACCACACGAATTGTTTTTATCGTGGGGATTAAGCACGATATTCTTGAAACAGCATTTTAGGTAATTCCCTGCCAAGTTTTAGGCAGGTTCATGATTTTTACCCGCTGCCACGCGAAATGACTACAATATTTGTCATCAGCGGCTCAAATGACCCCCATATACCGAGCAAGATCCGTCACAAAACATTTTGGGGCCCTGATAACCGAATAGCGCCATCAGTTTTTAGAATTACCCTAACTTTTATCGATTTTATTGATTTTTGCAAAGTTTGAGCTCCGGGGCTGGGGTTGTTGAGGGAGGTAGGTGAGCATGCTGATTACTAACACAGCGGGAATGGGGAATTGTATGTAGAACTGTGCACAGGGAAAGGCTGTACAGAAATAGGGATGGAACCATTATTACAGTGTTTGACAGGGCCGGGCGGAGCCGGGTAAGCCAGCTAGTGCAACTATATGTCCAGCACCTTCCCATTTTGCATTGCCTTGATGCATATTTTTTGTGGACTATCCGATTCACAGTTCCAAGGCATTTTTTTGCTATCTTGTTATTTGAGTACCAGTGCGTCACCTCTGCTTCGCAGAGGCTCGCACTGGCCCTGTTTTCTGTATACCTTACTCATTCCCGCATGATAATGACATTGAAACTCACCGGACTATGTAGGCTATCACGAATAATTCGTAAACAACTACTCATTCGTAGAGGTTTTCCATGTGAGATCGGTATTTTCGCGTTAATAAAATCTTTCCCAGAAGAATAGATGCAAATTCGAATAGGTTTTTGGAATTTTTACGGCTTGGTAGTCGCCGTAAGGACAATAAACATAGTGGGCTACTTCTCTATGCAAATATCTTCTCAAGTAATCAGGTAATCTCTTGAAAAATTGGCCGTTTACACAGCGAATGCTTTTTGGCGCTGTTTTCGTAAAGTAGTAGACTTTTCATTACTTTTTTAAGCTAACGTCCATGGCTTGCACATTAGCTTGTCAAAATCCTTAACTCTGCAAAAAGTAGTACTACGGGCCCCAAATTTGCTGGCCAGAAGCCATGTGGATCCGCTTGACGCGCAATTTTAATCCACTCAACGGATCCGCTCATGCTTTTGTGTGGTGGGCTTTTATGTTGGTAGCGTGCGCTATGCAGAATTTGGGCTCAGGACGTTGGCTGGAACACGCTCTACGAATTTCGTGACAGACAGAGATTCACACACACACACACACACACACACACACACACACACACACACACACACACACACACACACACACACACACACACACACACACACACACACACACACACACACACACACACACACACACACACACACACACACACACACACACACACACACACACACACACACACACACACACACACACACACACACACACACACACACACACACACACACACACACACACACACACACACACACACACACACACACACACACACACACACACACACACACACACACACACACACACACACACACACACACACACACACACACACACACACACACACACACACACACACACACACACACACACACACACACACACACACACACACACACACACACACACACACACACACACACACACACACACACACACACACACACACACACACACACACACACACACACACACACACACACACACACACACACACACACACACACACACACACACACACACACACACACACACACACACACACACACACACACACACACACACACACACACACACACACACACACACACACACACACACACACACACACACACACACACACACACACACACACACACACACACACACACACACACACACACACACACACACACACACACACACACACACACACACACACACACACACACACACACACACACACACACACACACACACACACACACACACACACACACACACACACACACACAAACGTAAACAACCCTTAGCCCGTTATTATAAGTTATGATAACAACCTCTTCGCTTGTCGTTTGAATTAGGCGAACATGACTTTTTTTCATTATCATCGGTTACTGTGGACCTTTGGACTGAAACTCCAATTACCCTATTTTCAGGTGTGAAGGATATTCGTTTACGACTGCCCGTTTCATGCATTTGCACCACCGCAGGCGTGCCTTTTTGAAGCCTTTCCAGCTTTACAGTATGCTACAGCGCGCAGGGTATTCGCAGCTCGCAGCGCCCCTGTCCTTTAACCTTCTGCATTTCTCATCTTTTTTTCCTTTTTAATCTTTAATTCAAGCATCTGCTCATCAGTAAGTCGTTCTCCTCTTCTTTAAAGTTCTCTCGGTCAAATACCCTACAAATTCTGCTTTGATGGGTCCTGAAAGAGCAGGAAAAAAGTTTTGGCACAGTTATTGAATTCATTCTTTTTTTTTACATATCATACAAACATTTTCAGAATCGTAAAATATCGTCCGCATAATTAGGTGGAAGGAGAGTGCTTTCTTCATGAGCAGTGAGTGTAGTAATGGCTAGCATGCCTTCTCCGTAAATGAAACCACTGAAATGTTTATTTTAGCACTCCTACATGTGTCCTTGATTTAGAACTGCTGAAACACCCACTCCAGCAGTCTCCCTTGAGAAAAAAAAAGGCAAATCATTATGAAACACGTAGAAAACGTTGCACTCCCGATCATAGTCACGATATACGCCATTGCAACTTGAAAGAAAACTCATTATTCCTTCCGATTTTTTCCGGAGCAATGGTCTTGCGTGTATGAAAATGTGTAACTGCCTAAAATGAAAATTAAGGAGAAAGAAGACGATGTGAAATGCTCAAACAACAAAAAAAAGTTAAAGGACGGGCATGCTGAGAACCGCAAATACCGCGCGAGCTGCAGCGTACTGTAAAGCTGGAAAGGCTTCAAAGCCACGCCCGCGGTGGTGTAAATGCACGAAACGGGGCGGTCGTCGACGGATATCCTTTATAAGCCGCGGGTCCTGGTCCTTCTGGTCCTGGTTTACACCGACCAGCCCTAACACGTCAAAAGACCTCGCAACCAGATGACCCTACACCGTACCGCGTATTGCCTGAAAGAATCGTGCAGCGTAAGGATCGCTTCTCGAAACACAATGAAGCGGCTGAGCAGCTCGTGGGGAAATTTGAAAAAGTGCGGCTTATACACCTGAAAATCGGGTAACATCGTAATGGTCAATTTGCAGCGTATCTTTACAACATTCTCTACCTCGAACTGATTTCTCCACGAAGCCTAAATCTTTTGCTTTTGCATTGTGCACCCTTTACTGTCACTCTTGTGTAAATAACAGTCACGCTTTCATAGTGTGCAAGACAGAGTGAGATGAGGATGGCTGGGTGTGTTTCTAAGCGAGTGATTTTCGCTCCACAAGATGCTGTGTACTTGTGTCTGGGTTAATAAATAAGGGTTCATCTTTGAGATTCAGCAGGACCGCAAGCTTTGAAAACAAACTGGACGCTGCTCTGTCATTCAGGTAATCAACGTAAGACATATTGTGCACCCCCAGGATTGTTCGGGTAGGGGAATGAAGGCCGCCAATTTAAGCCAGTTGGTCCTTTGCAACGTTGTCGCATGTCGCTCCAGGACCAGTTCGGGGCGCCCTAAACTGCCGGCCTTCGTTCCCCTACGCGAATTGTTCCAATATGAACCGTCAACGTGGCCGCCTTTCGATTGTTTTAACACATTAATTCCAGCAGATTTAGACGTATTCGAAATGTATAGTAAGTTTCATTTCAATCTAGGCGGAAATTCGACTGGCGGGAATCCGCTTCGCAACGCTGCTTTGCTGTCTGCGTCTCTTCATTCCAAACTATCTCGCTGAGCCTTTAGCAGTGCGGACGCGCTGTTCCATTTGGAACGTTTCGCCTCTTCCGGGTTGAAAAAGACAACATCTACTTTCAATGCTTTCGCCGCCATCGCTCTAGCATTAGAGCAGGGCAGACATCACGGACTTGACTCTTCGCTATCCACTATCACGCTTTATGCCTCCCATTCATCTGAATAATAATGCTTGCCTGTACATGCATGTCGTTGCTGCTCGTGCCCTGATCACCGACAGTCACATTGACATATGTTACCTTACAAACTGATCGTGTGTGATGGCGAGTTTATAGTGATTTCGTAAGAACAAATGGTTCCAGTCGAGTAACATCTTCTAGAAGATTAAGGCCCGTATGCACGTACATCCCCGCGGGGAGGGGAGGGGATCTGAGAGGGGAAGCGTCATATCTCGCTAGTTTATATATCTTTCTTCTTCTTTCTCTGTCTTGCTTTTGAAGGTTCACATACACTGATACTTGCGCATAACGGATGCCAGGTTGCTGCCATACAAGATTAGATATTCACTATTTCGTCTGATCCCCCGGGGATCCCCAGGGGATCACCGCGTATTTTCAAAGTCATTTATCTTCCTGAAAATCCACTGAAAATGCTGTAAAATTGTACTAATGATATACTACAGCAGTGCTAAACATGTTTATGGTAGAAATGAGTGAAATCTCGAGATATCAAAATTTTCGATGAACCGCTGCTCGCGACCCAGGGATTATCGAAGAAATCAAAATCTTCATAATCCATCTCTTCTGTCGAAAACATGCTCAGCAGTATCATAGTATATCTTCAGTACAATTTTGCAGGTGTTTTATTGAGTCTTCAGGGAGATAAATGACTTTGAAAATGTGAGGTGATCCCCTAGGGATCCCCAGGGGATCAGACGAAATAGTGAATATCTAATCTTGTATGGCAGTAACCTGGCATCCGTTATGCGCAGGTATCAGTGTATGAGAACCTTCAAAAACAAGACAGAGAAAGAAGAAGAAAGATACATAAACTAGCGAGGTATGACGCTTCCCCTCTCAGATCCCCTCCCCTTCCCGCGGGGATGTACGTGCATACGGGCCTAAGACGGAGCCTATAATATCACAGATTATGTCTCATCAACTAGAGTTGTCAGACATTCGCTAATCTCGTGTTTTTGTCATTCAGTCCCGGTAATTTTTCCTTGTTCGGTGTGTAGTTTCTTTCGGTAATGGAGGTGAAGAAGTACTACTATATCTATTGTCAAATTTCAGTATGTCAAAAGGAAAAATTCAGCTCAAATGAAGTCAAAGCTGAAAATCATACCTTGCATATGGAACGTTCTATGAGTATCTCATTTTGATCACTGACTCAAAGGCAGTGGTCGGCAGAATGAGATCCATGGCAAAACAAGGTCATAGGGTAGGAGCCCCGATAATGGAACCTATGGGCCAAAGTTCGGTCTTTCTCTGCCACTTATAACCCCTGAAATTTTGAAGCGAAAGCAGCGCTCATCTCCTGTCCTCTCCGAACCCGTCCACCCTATGACGAGTGACTTTCACGGTCAGAGTGCGCAGCCGCAATGCTATAAGCATGAGGTCCCGCAACGACTCTGCTCTTCGCCATGACGGACTTCGCGTTCACTTGTCCGTGGGGTGGGTGGGGTCGGAGAGGAGAGGAAATAAGCGCTGCATTCGCTCTGAAATTTCGGGGGTTAGGAGTGGCAGAGATAGATCGAACTTTGGCCCATAGGTTCCATTATGGGGGCTCCTACCCTATGACCTTGTTTTGCCACTGGTCTCATTCTGCCGACCCACTGCTTTAACAGAGAAGTGACCGAATAATACAGTCGTAGTATAATAAAAAAAAGTTTGTGTGGTGTCCTAAGCACTAATTTTTAGCGCTTGAATTGGTAGAAATTGGTAGGATTAAGCAAAAACAGCTATTTACAGCTTTAAGCATGAGCAGCACCACTCTGCTGTAATAGCTATGCACGCTGCTACCGTCACGTATAGACACTCGGCGTCAGCGTGTTTCAAGCCATAGCGTAAGTTCGTGATGTCTGCCGCGCTCTAATGCTAAAGCGATGACCTGCTGCGAGAGTATTGAAAGTATCTAGATGTTCTGCATTCCGAATACGTCGCAAATTCAAAGGTAGTGTCCAGGCAAAAACTCGATTTTGATTTTGTGCTTACCCGGGCCTATTCGCTATGCTGAATCCGAAAATCCACATTGGAGAGCGCGAAAACGACGAAAAAGAGACGACACTGGAGGGAAATCAGCAAGTGGGCGGGGTCTTCCCCACTGTGAATTCACGCTCCCAGCTTCGGGGGCGATCTTTTGTTTCCAGTTTCAAGTCATTCGTTTGCACTTGATCGGTAGTGATGTCAGGGCGCTAACGGATTCGAGAAAATTGCTCTGGAAGCTGGAAGCGTGAATTTACAGTGGGGAAGACCCCGCCCACTTGCTGATTTCCTTTCATTGTTAGAGCCCTTCTTCGTCGTTTTCGCGCTCTCCAATGTGGATTTTCGGATTCAGCATAGTGAATACCGGGTAAGCACGAAATCTCAAAATCGAGTTCTTGCCCGGACACTGCCTTTAAGGCGCTTATTCGAAGTTGACATGTTAAAATGATCGAAAGACAGCCAGTTGATGGTTCATACGGGAACAGTTCTGGGAGATGCACCGTCTAGCTGCTGTTTTGCGCTCGCCACTGAGTTACTGATTGGAACTATTCACTGATGTAGAGTGTATCTGTAATGTTGGTTATCTTTCTACTATGTACGTATATAAATTCAAAAATTGTCCATTTGGAGAGAGTGTATAGATAAAACTCAAGATTGTCAGTTTGGAGCATATGCGTTATGGAAACGAGCGCCGCTCAATCTCCTACTCACTGTCACGATTTTCCAGCGTTCTTCAGAGACTACACTGCTCCCGTGGCTATCCACCTATGGTTCCTCACTTTGAGTATTACATGGTCTCCTATAACCTTCACATAGGTGCCATGGGGTGAGCCGGGCACCCTCCAAAGTGAAGGGTGCCTCGGCTGTTTTTGACCCTCAAAAGTGAAGAGTGTCGGAAATGTTCCGACGTCGACCGGGGGGGGGGGGGTAGATTTTATTCCAAAAAATTTTTTAAATAATTTTTGTAATTAATAGAATTTTGTATATATAATTTCTACTGAGATTGCATAGTTTAATTTTTGTATTTTTTTATTTTGTATATATTATATTATAGTAAGGATATATTGTATTTTTAGTTTATTTTTTATATAATTTTGTAGTTTATAAGTATTGTATAGTTCACTTTTTATTTTTTGAAAATTTTTCGGATTTTTGATTTACTTTTTTGTACATAACAGCTTTTTCTCAGGTGATGGACAGCTTATTTGGCACTTACACCTTTAAATTTTGCTATGATTATATCGTCGCAAATAAATTTATTGCGGTATATGGAGTGCAGTAAACGGATTAAATGTTTAGTTGTGTCGTTTCAAGCATTATAATTGTTAGTAATGAGATTAGTGTAGTTTGAATCAAAGCAATCTTCAACTGAGCTTTCCATAGGATGGAGAAAAAATGGATCCTGAAGTGATTTTTTTGTCAAGGTGTTAGGTTGCAGAAAACAAAAATTAGGAATTTCGAAGTGTAATAATTGTTGTACATGAGTATGAAATCTAGATAACGGTCTAGGTGGATTGCACTCATGTAGAGCTTTCGACTGAGATATAATATGTTGGCCTGGAATGACGTCGCTATGGGATCATCACTTTGCTAAAATATAAAAAAAATCAGGTTTTTCAAAATCATGTAACTCTTGTAAATAATACTGTATCTTGATGGGAAGGGTTTTTGTGGATTGCACTCATCAAGAGCTTTCGATTGATGTGTAGTATGCTGGCCTGGAACGACGTCGCTATGGAATTATCAGTTTGCTGGTAAAAAATCAGGATGAACCAAGGTTTGCAAAATCAAATAACTCTTGTATATGATATTGTGTCTCGATGGAAAGGGTGTCTGTGGAATATACTCATTATAAGCTTTCGAACGGTGTACAACAAATTGGCCTGAATGGAGTTCTTTACAAAAACATCGTGCCTCAAAAAGACGAAAAATCACGGTGCTAAAAATCGATTTTTCAAAAGTGACTTTTGTATGAGTGAATGAAATAAGAAGGGAAGGGTATAGGCAAACTCTACTCCTCAAGAGCTCTCGACTAGTATATAATATGTGGGGGGGGGTTCATGCTGCTGAACTTCGGGAGCGGGGGGTGAGCATATTTGGCCGAAATGCTCCGCCTCTCTCACTTTATATCATTATCTCGCCCCTTGGGGGTGAGCGTTTCGGCCAAATATGCTCACTCCCCCCCCCCCCCCGTTCCCGAAGTTCAGCAGCATAAACCCCCCACATATTATATACCAGTCGAGAGCTCTTGAGGAGCAGAGTTTGCATATACCCTTCCCTTCTTATTTCATACACTTATACAAAAGTTATTTTTAAAAAATCGATTTTTAGCACCGTAATTTTTCGTCTTTTTGAGGCGCGATTTTTCTGTAAAGAACTCCATTCAGGCCAACTTGTTGTACACCGTTCGAAAGCTTATAATGAGTATATTCCACAGACACCCTTCCCATCGAGACACAATATCATATACAAGAGTTATCTAATTTTGAAA